GCCCACTTCTCTTCAGTGTATATTTTCTGGAATAGTTTTCGCAACGTGATTTACGACGCGTCGCTCTGCCGTCGTCAGTGATAGATGACGCTTGTCGATCGACATCTTCTGTTCAAAACTTACAAAATGTTTGGCGTGCATAACACGAACGCCAACTGGGAGGTCATTTGAATGCAGTGTTCCAATGCAATTCGGTACTGAGGGAGGATCCACGCCCATAATTTCATTCTGCTTCGAAATGGCCCCATACGCTCCTGCCTTCACCATAACGCTCGAAACACTTATTACAGGAAGACAACTTCATACATTACACACGCCGACGTGAACGACAACCGATGAGTTCTCCGCGGTACTGCGTCACTGACCCTGCGGATACACGACATCCGTTCCAAAAAAGACATGACCTCCATTGCCTTACGGAAAACGGGACGAGCAAAGCTGCAGATTCTGACGAAAACTGTATTTTGTGTCAACTATTTATTATATTCAATTCTAAGGGGTTTTGACGACGGTAGTTTACACTTAAAATTATTCTTTGGCATGACTTTTTCCATCGTATGTTCTTTAAAATCACGACGTTTTGGAGGCTGGTTCTGTCTTCGTCTTCAGGTGACAGAGATTAGCTCTATCTAAGGGACCCAACAGAAGACGGAGAGAGAACCAGCCTCCGAAACGTCGTGATTTTAAAGAACATACGATGGAAAAAGTCATGATAAAGAATAATTTTAAGTATTTATTATATAACGAGCCGCTTTTGAAAATATTGCTGAGTTTCCTTTTGAGCTCAGCAACATTTCGAATCGATAATGAATACTGACGAAGTTAAGTATTAGCCCAGCATCTGCCTGCGGGGACTGAGGAAAATCACAAAAAGCCTCCGTCATTGGATTTCAAAACAGTACCTCTCGAATACGCCCCGCGATGTTCGGTCCCGTCTTAAGCACTTCAAATTCACCAACGGCGTCGACGGACCTCCAGTTCTGCCGATGGAGCCCTAAAGAAAGAGGAGAGGGCACCCCAACGACATGACACTCGCCGCGTCGCAGAATTCGGTATACCGATTCAAGCCCCCTGACCTGAGGAGGGGATAACAGAAGGATTGTTAGGCGGGAAAGGACGAAACCTACTTTGAAAATGACGTCATGCTGATTGGCCGCTGAGTCGAACCAACGCGAGAGAGAGAGAGAGAGAAGCAAAATGAGAGTCCTGTTCCCGAGGCAGCCACGACGCACCGGCTCTGCTCTGCTCCGCTCAGTCTGTTGGCAGCTCTTGGGGCAGAAGCTAGCAGTTTCGTCCGTAACGCAATCGATACTGGTCACAGCGTTCCATATATTTTTTCTTTTCTTTTTGAAAAGTGAATTCTGCGAAGTGACAGTGAGTGAAGTGTTTTCTTCCTGAACGTCGAGACAAACCAAAGGTAAGCATCGTGGCATTTTGAGCCTCTGTAGCACGGAAACCGATGATTTCTCAGGTTGCAGGTACATCGGGGGCAGGCAAAGTGACGCCAAACTACACATAACTTTGCGGTGTAGTATAATAAAAAACAGACTACGTCCAGGTGCTCTGAAAACGAGGGGCGAGTCTCTGTGTTTTGTCAACTGTTCGTCCTAGCAGGTTGGACTTTATTTCCTGAAAACGAGACAGGGTGTCTGTAAACTAAAGTACATCTTAGTGTACCAACCAGGTTGTATATTTCCGAGGGGAAGAAAACTTTCTCGTGTCGTCCCAGACATTTCGCACGAGGCTTGACCCCCCCCCCCCCCCCGATTATAATCGGAATCCACTTTTAAACTTCTAGGTGACATGAACATAATGTAATAATTTTCATTAGGAGTAAGGAAATATGTTAACCTCTGCCGGCATTGATTGGTCGTCGCTGCTTCGCGACGTCAGTGGGTCACCACAACTCATTCATTTCGCCCCAACTGTGTTAGTCAGCAAGAACGTCCTTCCTGCCCGATGTAATGGCAGACTTGAAACACATCGTTTGTTTCGAAGAAGAAGATTGCGTGGGGGCGCTGGAAACATGAGAAAGGAAGTACCGGGGAGATGTCGAAACAGTAGACGAAGTTACAGTTGTCGCGTCAGGATAATGGGCCAGCGAGAGCCTGACCTCTGGAGTGCGTCACTCAGCAGGTGTTCGTCGAAAACTGCGCCGTGCAGTGGAGTATACAAGAGACGGAAACACGAGATGGGTGAGCGTGGCGGTATGCATGGGTAATCATGCACTTGGGAGAGAAAAGGTCCAGTGGCGGGCTTCGGCGAAACGTCGGAATCCATGTCAGCTGACTTCTGAAGAAGCTGACTGAAAAGTTTCAGAATCTTTCTTGGCGAAACGTGTTTTGCTGATGTGGGTTCAGTGAGAACGGGGGAACTTCTAGTAGCGAGAGAGAGAGAGAGGCTTTCAAATGACGGAAATTGGCTAATGGGGTTTTCGTAATCGCCCCGCGATGTGATTACGTGGACATGAAACGAGGCTCTGACAGAATCACTGGTCTAAACTGAAGCGTTAAAAACATGCTGACTTAGATGAGTGCTTTACAATCGCTGTGCGTTCTAATCATTCGGCAATACTTCCGCAACGAATTACCTTGGGCTACTGACGAATATACTCGTAAAAAAATCATTAATGATCATAATAATGACTTGGTGTCGGTGAAAAATACAGAGCCAGTGTTCTGGCGGGACAAAAGCTACTGAGGGCGTTGAGCTGTAGGTCTTTGAATTAAGTGAAAGTTGCAGCGACCGAGTCTCAGAATATTCGTCATGTTTTTGCACACTTGCTGTTTGACGGCGTTCAAGTCCCCCTAAACCTAGGAGATTTCTTCCGTGACCCACGTCTACTCTTCATTTCTACGGCCCGCGGTTGGATGTCGTCGTCTTCCGTACAGGCGACAGACGAATCGGGAAAGCTCGGTAAATATTGTGGCTAGCCATGAGCTGGGGCCCAAGTGGCTGGAGCGTGAAGCTGACCACTACTAACCTTCGTCTGCCGTCATCCACGTCAGTGCTCGAAGCAGTTGCAAGCAGCCTGCCTTCCCCCTGCACCACCAGCAGGTCAAATGCCAACGGAATGTCTACCCAACCTAATCGATAACAAACATGCCCACGTGTTATAGTGTTATGTCGCACCGAAGAGCGACGCATTGCTTCTTAATCACTTTTTGACGGCACTGCACGTCGAAAACCAAAAATCTGCGGAAATCGACTTTAACGGAGCTTTCTACAGGCGGGGGCGGGGAATTCTGCCTTCAGGGGCATTTCTAAAGCGCACCGTGTGTGAAGGCGAGAGGAATGGTTTACACAGCCGACTGGCTGGCTGTAAATTTGTTTGGGCCTGTCGAATAAACGCGGCACAACAGAAGCGTAGTTTCTGTAATATAATGAATGGCATTCCTTCGGAGCAATTTTGAATAACCGGGTTCCAGTCTGGAACTACAGCCAGACTCTGCGCCTCGTTCCCTGTCGTCGAGGAGCGGTTGGCAGGTCAGAATGTCTAGTAAATTACAACTAATTTGCTAAAACAACAGGGTGTCCGTGAAACTACAGTCTACTCAATAAATCTGTTTTTTATGGATCTTCTCAGTAGAAGCACGCATACAAGGGCATTAAGTGTCTGCGTGTCTGAATACACCCCCCACCCCGTAAATTGTTTCTTTACAGAATAATGAGTTTAAAGAAGTTTTAAAATCAACAGACGGTGAAGAAGTATGTAGATATTTTGTTGTTGCTGTAGTGACGTGTATCTGGACCACACGGCTGGCGTTTCCACCCACAAGTCCATCAACAGAAACATTTTGACGTGGGGTATTCATTCCCCTGGCATGGAAAACGTTTCGTCCTTAGTTTCAGAGGAAGATTTCCCGAGCCACTATAGCATGTGGGGTCGACAGTGGATCTGCAACCAAATTCCAGTTCATTTGGACCGTTGCCTGCTCGTCATAATTTTACACTAACATTACCTGTTGACATCACGTCATCTCACGAGATTTGAGCTCACATTCCATGCCCCCCCCCTCCCCCTGCATTTATTATTTTCACTCGAACGTCCTCTGTGTACGATTGTAAATATAGGTCAGCTGGAGCGCGTGTGTTGTTGGCAATTAGATGATGGGACACCTCCTATCCCTGCCCCAGTCCCACTTCTGCACGTTCAGCGAGTTTATCATCCAGAAACCCATCGGAGGAGGGTGGAAAAACAAACAAAAACCGCGCAGATATTCGCCCCCATGAAAACAGAGAGGGTTTAAGATTGGTGAAAGAACTTTGTTTTCAGGACACGCACAAGCACGGCCGTGGGTTCCAACTCATTAACAGCTTCAGAAAAAGAAGAAACCGTGGGGTGCCCCTTTTGTGAGCGCACGGCTCAGGAGAGCAACTTGTACACAACGCCAGTCAGTTCCCAAAACAATTCACGCGGATCAATACATGGGCAGTGCGTGACGGTGATAAGCAGCTGCTAGGTTACAGCACGCGGGCGTTTGAACCCAAGTCTCTCGCCCGCCGCGGGCGGGGGGGCACTGTTGTGACAGGTGAAAGTAGCCCGGAAGTAAAGCGACGGCAAAGATACGAGTCTCGAGCAGTACAATTGACTCCCCCTCCAGTCTGCAAGATAGCCTGTCTCCGCCCGAGGTTTGAACCCCGTACCTTCGACTGCTGACAGACATCAAATAATTACTGCAATCCCCAAACTGCAGTGGCGTAGGTGTGTCAACATTGAAAGCAAAATGGGAACGTAATCCAGAATAATCCCTCCTCTTCTGGCAGAACGAGACGCCACTGTTGTGAACGCCATTTCAGCAACATTCGAAGCCATCGGCACGTAAAAAACAACGGGAGGTATTTCTGCAACGTCTGCTTTAAGTGGAGGAGCTGCTGATTCAGTGCGTGGCACAGGCATCGATAACCAGCGAGGTCTGCCCAAGTAACACCGCACTGTTGACCGGGGCGAAAGGTAAGTCGCTGGTATATACCGCAGTTCCATGCATCCGGTCATCGAACACGTCCATACTGAAGACCAGACAGGAGTCGAACCCGAGAGCCCAGCGGCGGAGTTACTGGGACTGCTGTAGAAATGGCGAATTCGCAATAAACGAAGCTAAGACTACCATAAAATGAATTTAAAAAAAGAGAATCGATTTATAAATAATCCCGAAGCAAAAACGGCTGTATCCAAGCTGTAACCGTCGGATTTCAAAGCCGGTCGACCTTCGGATATAAAGGAAATGGAAGTATTGAAGGGACAGCAGTCCCCCTGAACAAAAAAACAAAAGCCCCCCCCCCCACAGTTGGAAAGAAAAGGTCGGAGCATCGGAGAGGACAGCGTCAGAGCTTCTTGCTACCTCG